AACGTGACCGTAGATCTCTCTGGCAATTCGTGCGCATGACATGTCACGTGCAAGATGAATGGTTGATTGCAGAAGGATTCGTTGCAGGCTTGCGCACGCTCTGTCCGGTAGGTTATATCAGACTGAAGGCTAGACGTGAAGGAAGCAAGCAAGCAAAAGGTGGAGGCGAATCACGAGCAGACGACACATTGCTGCTGGTACACGGGACGATCAGGGCAATTGCTGCAATCGCAACAGAGAAAACGAAAGCCTGGTGTCGCCGGGATGCTAATTTCCTTCGGCTACAGGATGGGTGCTTGCAGCGTGGTCGGCTGCCGCAATGGACTGGCTTTTCTTCAGCAGGGGTTACCTTTCACCAGTAAGCCCTTGGCGTATAACACACACATAGTCTTACGATAACAGGAATCGATCCAAGAATCCTCTCAGATTTTCGACGGTCGCCGGACTGCGGAAACAATGAATTTCGGCCGTTGGTCGCAGCGGTGGCTGGACCCCATCAAAGTGGAGCGTGGTGTGCTCCGTGCACTTCCCATAGTCAATGAAACATCTCCCAACCTTGAGTCAAGTTGAGCTAGTTCAATTTGTCACAACCACGATAAAACGTCCCAGCGGACGACCTGCATAGTGGCCGCAACGAAAAAAAAAAGCCAAACGTAGTGTAGCGTGATATAACATGAGAGCGATGAGAGCGCAGGTATCAAATTTGCAGGCGGGCGCGAAAATCATCGCTGTAAAAGTGCCTAAGTATTGGTCCAACCTGTCGGGTCGACATAGTTACGCAATCATGCGTGTATAATTTGTTCTTGCTTTGGCTACTGTTGTAGTTAGTGGCCAGGAGATAAAAAAATGCTCTCCGCTGATGCATGCAGATGCAAGGTACATTACCCAAAACACGCCAACAGGCAATCGTTACAGTGCTGACATTCCACGTTGAATACTATCCTTTTCAGGATAGCACCGGTCTGTAGAAAACAGAATGCATTTACTTTATAGTTGAGGGTACATAACAAAGTGCAGCAGGTGTAGAATCGGTAGGCTGGGCGCGGGCCACGGTTTCTAGCTGCGATGACTGATAAATGAAACGTACCAGCACCACGCTCCCGCTACCTGCAACCATCAACCACGCGACGGTCACGTGCTGTGATCACACTGGCCCAATAAGTGAGGAGGGAAAGAAGGAAAAAAAGAAAGAGGCGAGGCGTCAAGGGAGCATGGCTTGTGGAGACTATGCGGCTGATGTCATGCCTCCTCCTACCCTTCTAATCTCCTTGCTTAAACTGGATTTGTCAGCTGTTCCCTTTGCATCAAGTAGCACACTCTACATAGAGTAAGCAGAGCCCGTCCTCCTCTCTAAGCAGAATTTATTGCCTATTTTTCTATGTTTCCAGCTCATTTTTCCTGATTGGGCTCGTTTTTTGACAATATCCGTGATTTTTCCCGGTAATTAAAATTTCCCTGACAATTTCCCGTTTTCCCGATCACTAGACCCACTGTCTAACTATTTATCTCGGAGTGTGAGTGCACAGCAAAGCTTAAGAAAGCAGAGAATAAGGGTTTGAAAGCTGTTCTAACTTCAAAGCACATATGCATAAAAAAAGACAGGGTAAACTCGTTGCATTTTGCTGCACTGACAACAAGAGAGTGAAGCAAAGCAATGTGATAATTTCTAAATGACTGCACATTTTTTAGCATGTTCAACTGGCCTAAGTTAACAAGCTTCCTGAAAATTTTTTTTATTAAACTAGGAGTTCCGAGGACCTTGCAAGAGCCCAAAATATGCACCATTGCCAAATCATTACCTTCTGCCTGATTAATATTTGCAAGCAGGCCAGTCAAATGGTAAGGACAGTAGAAATGACCACACGACCCAGCCACGCTGAGAGGAAAAACTGACCAAATCTTTAATGATATTCAATAATTATATAAAGTTATGAAAACTTCAATAAGTGTTTCTAACTTTTCATACAAAATTTACGGAACTTTTCATAAACAGTTATGAATCTTTCCATACAATGGTTCTGAAAGTTTTTTTTATAAAAAGTTGTAAAATTTCTCATACAAAATTGATCAATTCTCTAGGCACGTGTGAATGGTGGATTTTGAGTTTGAAGTGAATTCGAAGCGAATAATGTTTTTGGCCAAATATTTTCTGACCGAATATTGAACAGTTACTCAGAGCCTTTCACTCCATGTACCATGCTTAAACGAAAATTCAGCTGAGCATGTGAAGGTTGTTCCCAGCCTACCACTTGTCCACTTCTAAGCTCAGTTAATTTTAATATAACTATATTTACGAGCTTCGGCACGTAAACGACAAACTTGTTGCAGCTATCTTAATTGAGGAGATTTATAAATCTGCTGGCTCAATGCAAATTATTCTTTCATTTAATTTCAGATTTGACAACAAAAACAACAAACGCGAATGATGAATGCAGGTTATCAAGAGATCGCTGCCTAATGGCGCGTTTACACTTGAGGATTCCTGGGCGGATCCGCACAGGCAGAAAGTGGATTTTAGAAAGGGGGGCGAAATTGATTCATCGCTGGTGGAAAATTTGGATATGGGTCCCGGACTAATCCAGATTTTCTGCCAGCGACGAGTCAATTTCACCACCTGGCTCCAAAATCCAGTTTCCGCCTGCGCGGATCTGCCTGCGAGTCCGTAAGAGTAAATGCGCCATTACTCTTGCATAATCGCGGCGGGCTAGCCCCGTTGAGTGCGCTTCTCACTGAGCACTTATGCACTGCAGGGAAGCTATACGCCGAGAAAGTGAGGAAGAGGAGAAGACGAGCGCACGGGGACGTCCGAATGCCGTGCTTTGATTTGAACGACTAGCGGGTAGACCTAAAGCTAGCTGCCTTTCTCTCCGCTGCACTCATTGAATGCACTTGAACGCGAGCCAAATGCCAGACGCCTGCGTAATGCGCTCGACGAGTGCAATGGAGACAAAGGCTGCCTTTGTCTCTACTGCAGTCGTTGAACGTGTTTGCACACTTCTGAACATGGGCATGAAGAAAAAAAGAATTGCCTGTGCTTGCTCATCTTCAGAAGTTTGATTTGAAATGCAACTACAGCTGTTAAAACTGCGCTGCATTAAAAATGTTGGTACAATTGATGTGAAACATTGCAGCGGAGCAGGAAACCTGGATTAAATTGTGATGGCTAAACCCCACTGGATCCCCACAGTTGCCAGATGAAAACAAAAACTCCAATTAGTTTGCAGATTTATTCGTTCTGGTGCAGTTTTGTGCAATTTTGCCCCTAGGGTGCAGCAAGGCAATTGGGAATTTATCAAAATAGTGCAAATGATGCAACTGGACCACCCCTGAAAGTATGAACATTGCAATTCATCTCGAAGCGATTATTGAATAGCTCATTATTCTAAACTATTTGAAAATTCAAACATTCAAACAACTCTAGAGTTTTCATTACAGGTTATGAGCCTTTTCTTACAAAAGTAATGAAACTTCATAAGTGTTAATAGTTTCTCATACCAAAGTTATGAAACTTTTCGTATCTTTAAGGGGGAACACTAACCAAAAGAAAAATATTTCCACAAATAAAGTTGATTTTGAAAAATGCCATATTTACATCTGCCAACTTTTAGAGAGAATTCCCAGAGAGTTTCATTTGTTTACACTGTATAGTTGTTGTTTTTTATAAATTATTTTCTGTCCCCCGATACTAAAGAAAAGGTAGAGGTTCGAGCACTTTGAATGTGTTCTTCTCCATTCCTTTTTTTTTTTGCATAAATTTCACTTAATAAATTTATTGTTTCAGTATGAAACTACCAACAGGCTTAATTTTTGTGGCTTACATATCAAAAAGTTATGAAGCTGGTTACTATGAACTTAGATATTGCATTTTCATGTTCCTTTATTATGAAACATTTTAATTTGCTAAACTAAATAAATGCAGAAAGAAATTAGTCATTAATTTTTTAGCTTAAAAATTCATATTTTGTTTAAAAATTGTTTTATAGTAACTGTCAACATGTATTCCAGTATGCATTCCACCAGAAAAATATGTAATTATCAACACCATTTCTCAATGAAAAATCCATTCAGCAGGTTCCATGCCAAACTGTGCTTTACTTCGTTGTAAAAGTGTAGTATCTCATAAAAATGGTTCACAGGGCTGTAACTTTGCACGCCCCTTTTCTATATGCAGTAGGCTAGCGTTAATTAAAACTCGTATGTTTCATACCTTTGACTAATTACAACAAAATTTTTAAAAAAAATTTGGTCGTCCCGCAATGTTTTTAATGTACTTATAAGCCGTTTAATTTGAATGGCGTTTTCGTGTACCGTAATTCATAGTTTTGGTTCTCGCGGCCCCGTTAAGCGCGTTTCTTTCCGAGCACTGGGGCACTGCAGAGAGGCAACACCCGCGGAGCTTGCTTGCTTCTCCGCAGTGTACCAGTGCTCGGTGAGAAGCGCACTCAACAGGATTCAAGCAGGGCATACACGAGCTGTGAGAACGGTCACCACGCGGGAATTTCCACAACACCTTGCATGGACGCTGTGATATGGCGGCATGGCGGAGGTCCACGTCACAGCGTCCACGCAAGTTGCTAGGAAAACTTCCGTATGATGCCCGTTAGACACCTTCTTGACCTGATGAACAAAACAGTCCATGTGAAACAACATTTTTGAGGGATACATCAACTTGAGTCATACATTTCACAAAATGTTTCATGTGTGGCATAGCTGCTAATGATCAGTAGGCCTATGTAGAGGAAATAATTGAACATCTGCTTTCTCTCTGTAGCCATCCATAAGGTAAATCAAAATTTTATCTTGCATCATATTTAGATGAGTTTCTGATAATTCAAACTTTTGAAAAATCAAACAAGGTTTGTGGCTTCCTGGAGCCTGAATTAAGGGGAGTCTACTCTGGCTACAAACACTACCTGCAAATTTCATGCCAATCGAGCGAGCAATTAAAAAGTTGACATTCCCAGGAAGTGTCTTCCCTATGAAAGGTGTTGGCGGCTCACCCAAAAGGTTCGTAGAAAGCGCAGCTCCTGGTTCTTCACGCTGAAGAGCAGGATCCTGCCGTCCCTCCCGGATGTGACCAAGGTGTCCTCGGTGTGCTTCATGTCTGTAACTCCGTTGCAGCCATGGATGGCGTGGAAGGTGCGGAATGGCTCCACCATGTCCTGGGATGCCACGCCCCGGCTATGAACAGGCTCCAGTTTCAAACACCCCAGGCAACTAGGCTGACACCCAAACTCGCCAACCAGAAACAATTTAGGTGGGCACTGCTTCTGCATATCGCAGCTAATAAATAACGAGGGCTTCAAATTTCCAGTTTTGTTGATATAAGTTTGAGGTTATTGAAGTTTAATTCTAACAAAGAATTATGAGCTTTCTGACAGTTAGTTTTATTGCATTAGTGACTTCCTAAGACTATAATTATTGTAATATATCCTATGACAGGGGTCTCAAACATGCGGCGCCGCATGAGGCCTGCGACTCGCTGGGACACAGCTCGCAGGCAACCGGCCTACGAGTTCCGGTTCCCACGTCTCGAGCGCTAGAAATGGCATACGCCATAGTGATCTCATCTCGTCTAATCATTTTTACTCGAAAAGTAGCTCTGCTCTTTTAACGTATTCACATATTTTATACTTATCTGTGTACATTTGCTCTTTGTTTATATTTATTTTTGTGCTTCCCAGCTTTTTTTGTAATGTACAACTGTTCCGCAACTAGGCTGCAAGTGCGAGCTATTCATTTAAGGATGCATCTCGGCTGTGCGAACTCTCAATCAGTCAGAGCAACTGCCAAAAATAAAAATACGAGCTCGGGATTCTCGCTTACAAAAAAATATCCCCATTAAAAGACAAATATTTGCTCAGAGTGTTGTAACAAAAATCGTCAGAAAAGCAAAAACTGCCAAATTAACTAGTGTTTTTTTTTAAAAAACATGCTGAGCTTGTTTAATTCCTGAGTGAATTGAGCAACAAGAACGACGGTGTATTTCTTCTCTTGTTCCATTAAAAATGGCAGCACATTGGCGGGAGGGGTCAGGGCCCGAAGTGGTCATGAAACAAATGAAACCGAAAGACTTCACTGGCAAAACTGTGATTTTACAAAAAGCGTAAAGAGCAAAGTCTCTTCTTTTTAAAATTTTCTTACATCTTACGTTGGCCCGCGACCTTTCCGGTGTGGACTGTGTGGCCCCCACACTCTAATGAGTTTGAAACCACTGTCCTATGAAATAGATACAAACAAGAGCCCATGCAATAGATAGGGCAGGACAGATTAGATTCTATAAATGTAACACTTGAAGAATGGTGATAGTTAGAGTATACCATAAAATACCGCACATCTGCCCATTCCACATTAAGCACCCAATCCCAAATTCACAAGATCGGAGAAAATACACACAGTATATTCATACGTAAAATTGATGACCGGACAAGCGCCCATACCCCATTTTTTCTCGATTATCTCTGAATTTTGAGAGAGCGCTTGCCCGGTATTTTACGGTAAAACGTGTAGAATGGTTCTGAATAGCTTAAAGGGTTGAAATAAAGACTTCTGCACTAACCTACCAGTCTGAGCTTGCATATTTGGATTTAGCTCAAACTAGGGTTTCATAAAGCAATAACTGTAATAGGGTGGTACCTAAAAAAAAATTTTGTATTACGAATTGAAGCAAGGGTACTATCGGTGACGGGATGTTTTGGTGGTGCCCCCTTATGACTCCTACTAGGGGTCTGTGAATATTGAAATTTTTAAATACAAACCGAATATGAGTGTTAAAAAAAGAGATAGCTTTAAATATTGAATGTGTTTAGAATGTGTGTGTACCATTGAGAAATAACAAAAAAAAAATATGCAAACACTTTCTTTATTACCTTCGAAACCAAAAATGATGTTAACAAATTCGAGTAAACAAAACTACCTGACAACAGAGCTATTATACCTTGACTAGTAATCGCCTGTCAACTGCACATGAAAGCAGGCAAAAGGTGCAACTGACAAGTTATACAGATTACAAAATTAAGGGTGTACAAAACTGCACATGTCTAGATAGCATGTAAAAAAGCAACCTGTAATGCTGTCGCACAAACAACTGGTAGTGACCTTCTTTAAGAAAATTGACATTGCCCTTGACTAGATAGCAAGTTAGATACCGTATCAGCTGCTAATGCAATTATTGCAAATCATCATGCAAGAAAATTAATTTTTCCACATGTTCAGAACATAAGCGCTCCCTTTTTCCAGTGACAATTGCTCCTGCAGCAGAAAATACCCTCGCTTCTGCAGCAGAAAAAATAAAGTCGCTAGAAAAGTGAACCACAATGCAGGCTTGGCAAAACGAAAACCAAAACTGCTCCCTCGTTGTGAGCTAATACATAATTCTATGTATAACGAAAATGGCGGGGTTTATTAAAAAATGGCTATAATACCCACAATTTTATGCGACTAAATGTGGTTTTTAAGGAAGCTCTGAATGTTCAGGGCATGTCCCGCGAGCAGATTATTCACCATTTGCCCGAATATACGGCCATATTGAAATATTCAAAAATTATTGAATTTTTGAATCTAGAGTTGATTGTGAATCAAATAAGAAAAATATTCTATTCATATTTGAAATCTCGAATACAGTCAAGCCCGTTTTTATCGAACTCGCAAAAAAACGTCGACCAGTTTGATATAGCGAGTAATTCGATATAAAAGTTTCAATGAATTTGACTCAAAAATCACTTTCTGCTGACATATTACACAATGAAAGCACATTAGCGCCAAACTATGCCGAGAGCTTGGAGCACCTCCGAGCAGCAGCACCTTCTCCTGCAGAGTACCGTTTTGCTCTGCAAGTTAGCTTTCACCTACGGCAGGCGGACACGTTGGGGGAATGCCAGCTAGCAGAGCAAGCTGGCTTTTTTTTAGGGTTGTGCGAATATTCGAAATTTCGAATAGTAGTTTCGAATAATACACAAACTCATCTCTGTTACGTCACGGCGCAGTGGTGATCTGTCAGGCACACTTCAGATCTGGGGCTGTGGGCAGAAGCCGCCATGGGGCACGTGCATTCCTGCGTTACTTCGGAAGAAACCGGACAAAACCCTGCCTTCTCGTCAAAATGCCGCGACTGGGGCTTTACCAAAAGGATCAGGAAAGGTTTGAAGGTCAGTTTTTATGCGTTTTCTGCCTGCTCGGTTCGTCCGAGAACGTGAACAGGGGCTGTTAAAAAGGAAAAGCAGACACCGTCAGATTTGATTGGGAGGAAAGCACTTTGGATTGAACTCACGGATACTTGTGGTCATCAGATTTATTTGTTTTGTTCCAATATGAAAGTGGAAAAACTGTCAAGTTGCACGGACCACCTGCGAACTACGTTCAGTGCGTCATCACATTGAAACGGCCGCCTCATCAATCGAGCTGTCGTCTGCTCTCTGAAACGTTTCTGCTTGTCGTCTGCTCTTTCAAACGATAGCAGCCCGAGCGACGTCATGACTGAAAATAGCGAGCAGAACCTCACCATGTGAATCAGGCTTTAGCGTCCATTCTGCGGCGTCCACGCGGAATGAATCGCCGCATGTTATATTACTCATGCCGAGTTTTGCGGTGTAACGAGCCTCAATAATTTCGCTGAGGCCGCTCAAGTAGACAGACATTGCCAGGAAGACATAGAATTAACAATTCCAACGCGAAAAAGAGCGCGACAGGGTAGCCCCGTTGAGTGCGCTTCTTATTAAGCACCGGTGCGCTGTGGAGAAGCAATATCCGCAAAAGCGAGTTCTGCGGGCGTTGCTTCTTTGCATTACATTGGTGCTCGGTAAGAAGCGCACTCAACGGGGTAACCCGCTGGATAAACACTTAGAAAAGTATGAATATCATAATTGCGTGCTTAGAAGTAAAGCATACATTCAAAGCAAGATGGTGCACCTGTGCCGAATGTATTTGAAAATAAATGAAAACTTTGTGAATGTGTATATCTACATTGTAGTAAAAGTTTCAAAGCTAAACTGTTATTCAAGAGTATACTATGTTAGGCAAAGATGCCCTTACAACCTGCGTTCATCATGCACGATTCATTATTTTTTAACTCGAGATTAAAGAAAGAATATTTTATATAGCAAGATTTGTAAATTCACTCAATTGGTATAGTTGGCGATCTATATAGGATTCATTTTATGTCAAATCTGTTGTTTACTTGCCATCCCAAGACACCAGACCTTCTGAGGTCACAGTTCATAAATGTAGATAGATTAAACTCAGCTTATAAATGGACAAGTGGAACAACCTTCACAAGTTTAGCTGGGTTTTCGTCTAAGCATTATGCAATGCCAGTGAAAGGCGGGGAAAACTATTCGATATGCAAATCGAAAATATTCGGCCAAAACCCCAATTTGCTTCGAACTCAAAATCCACTATTTGCACAAGACAACTTTTTCTTCTTCCGGCGGCTGCATCAACCACCCGGAAGAAAAAATAATATTTTCTTTTGCGGACAGAGCTAGGAGAGGGGGCACGGAGCACCCTCTCCCCACTCTCTCCGCAAAAGAGTTTTTTTTTTTTTTTTCATTCTTCCAAGCGATCCACGCGGCCACCAAGAAAAAACAAAAAAAGCCAGCATGCTCTGCAAGCTGGCTTTCCCCCAATACGGCCGCTCGCATTGGGGGAAAGCCAGCTAGCAGAGCAAAACGGCGCTCTTGGCAGTTCGATATATCGGTAGCGGCTGCTATTTTTGTTCGATGTAACCATAGTTTTTTGCTATATATTATCACTGTAACATTACTGTGCACAAAAATTGTTCAATATGAGGGATGGTTCGATGTAAACGGGTTCGATATAGCCGGGTATGACTGTATTCGCACATTTCTAGTTTCTACCAGCGATGTCACGACAAAGATTACCAGCTGCAGACAACAAGTTCGAGGAATTGTGTAGAATGCACGGTGCAAGTTCGAAGTTGGCACATTCTTAAGCCAATGCTGTCATAGCTGACCATCTCTCTTCACTCTTTTTTCCGTCAACGAAAGCGGGATTAACATCGCTAAAGACTTCACAGCGAGTGCCCGGCAAGTCGTGGAAGGCCTACCGCAGCGACGCTTTTTATCGCGCATGTCACCAATAGCAATGACGTGTTAAAACAAATAGCAAAAATGGCCCCCCCAAATATGAAAAACGGCCCCAATAAAAGAGGACGGCCGACCTGATCGTCGTCCAGCAGGAAGGCGTGGACGCTGCCAGACCGGTCCCCGACGAACAGGCATGGGGGCAAGAGGATGGCCGCCGTGGCCCAGCGCTGCCTGCCCCTGGGCAGGAGGAAGGTGCTCAGGGACTCCACGCTGCCCAGCTCGTCTGACGAAGGCACGTCGTCCGCCAGCTGGGTCAGGATCTGAGAAACGAAAAGGCCGGTTCACATGTCTGCACTTTGGTGTGCTTGGACATGTTGCGCTCCCTTGCTGCCGCTCATGATTGGACGACAAAAAGTGTGCCAAGATTCTGGAGCGTTTCCAACTGTTTAACCGGGTCAGCTGGTTTCAACGGTACTCTGAAAATTCTTTGAGCTACCTCAAATAACTATATTTTCAAAATCACCGGCCTCTACCCTTTCCGGTATGCTATTTATTATCGTGAAATTCAGGATAGTTATTGGGAAATGGTCAAGCGAAAATGACACTGTGCTTTTCAGTGCCATGAAATAAGGGGAAGGCAGGCTTGCAGGTTTAGCGGGCAGTCTAGAAATAAGGGAGATGGCATGACGTCACGAGTCTAGCTTCCGCAAGGCAACCTCTTCTGAAGCCGCCTCTCCCCCCACCCTCCTCACGTTTTCCTGGAAACGGTATGAATCTCAGGACGAGTCGGCCCACTAACGTGACTTTTTCTGGTAGGTTTTAGTAGAGGTGCTATTATGGTGAGCTGTAGTATGTTCGATCTACGGAATAGGCAGTGAGCGCGGAAGTGGTGGGTGTTGGACTTCTAGCGTCTGCTTGTCGTTCTTGGCCTTGCATTTACAGAGTAGGCAGTGAGCTTGGAGGCGGTGGGTGCCAGATTTGTAGGGTTTGCTTGTCGTTCTTGTGCCTCGCATTTCTCGACCGCTGCGGATAGAGCTTGAAATGTGGAATTTCAGAACTAAAGCACTTCTTTGCGGTGCACCTATGTCGTTGGTAAATCTCTAGGAGGCTTCGTAATGCAAGTCGAGCGGCTCACTCGAAGCAGCGTCTCAGCAGAGACTGTCTCAAGAAAGCGCTGTCAAAGGTAGCGCTCAATGTTAAGGGGGGAGGCTGGTCTTTAACTTTTTGTTTTTTATTTTTCATTGATCCTGCTGAAATTTAGAATACTGATGTATTTCTCAGTGGTGATTTCAAATATGCAACTAGTTTTCAGATAGCTTTACTAGATCCCGAGTCATTAAGAAATTTGTAATTTTCATTAGGTCATCCTTACGGGCCTTTAGCATAAAATTGTTCACAATATATCACAAATTTTTATAGGATTGCATTCACCAAGACATGTTTTGTGCGGTGATGCTATTTTAAGTCTAATCTAATTATATTACATTGGTAAAACACATCTGCAACGAAGTTGTACAAAACGGGAGGTTATATCTTTTGGAGACTAATTAATTAAAATTATTGTATGAGATAAAAAGCAACAAAAATAGCATCACCGCACAAAACATGTCTGGGGGAATGCAATTCTATAAAAATTTCCGATATAAGTATAGACCACTTACAACGTAACCGCTTATAGTGCAGGACCGGGTATAACGCGGCTTTTTTAAACCACCGGTTCGCCTCCCATAGAACTCCATGTATTTACATACCGCTTAAAATGCAGGCGCGCGAAGGGAAATACCGGTTATAGTGCGGTTTCTGGAAGAGCCCGGCGGCCGTGCCGACTGACCGGCGCAACGAGCACGCTTCCCTTTGCGGCGCTAGATAACGGCGCGAGCCGCGAGCGGCACTCGCGGGGCAAGGAGGTGACTGGAAGAAACCGGGAGATGCGAAGAGAGAGGCTGCAGTTGCCATAGCGACGGAGGGACGCATACACGTGTCGTTCTCGTGCGCGCGTCCCTCCGCTGCGATGGTTGGAAACAACCGCAACGACAGACCAATCGCAGGTCGAGGAGAAGTGTTCGCGCGCGTTGCATGCCGGCAGTGCGTACACACTATTGGCTCTCTCCTTTCCCCCCCAAACCTCTATTACAACGCTTCTCCTCTCCGGTCGCGGGCCGGCTGCGTCTATCCGCAAACATGGCGTTGGTTTTGATCGTCGACGTAGATTGCGTGATGGAGGCTCATCGTTCCGCGTAAAAGCGCTACCCTTGACTGTGAATTTTCGTTGTGTGTCGTTATGATAACCCAGCACGTACTAGAAGGGAAGATCCACCTACTCGTGCGGCGATGTCGTGGCGGCACTCTCAAGACGGCAGAAACGCCCGTGTCGTCGTGTTTGTTTACTTCGCCTAGAGTGGTGCTTTCTGTGTTTTCGAACATCGCCCGGATTTCTTATTTGGAGCATTTCATGCCTGTGCTCAAGTTGAAGGTATTACTGGCGCGTACCGTATAAAGGATGCGAATTTTCACGCGTTTTCATCGCCGGACAAAAGTGATTAGGGTTAGCAATCCTGAACGCTCGCAACGTCCGTCCGCAACCCGCGACGCTGTTAAAAGGCTGCGCCAGGCAAAAGTCGCTCATTTCTTTCAAAATGTGTGACACGCTTGAGACAGAACTGTTCTAGTCTGGTGAAATAAAGACTTTCCTCAAACTAAGCTTTATTTTTCACCTAACATAAAGTAAATTCTTTTACAAACGTAAGTAGTCTCATGGCATGTATTTTGGCCTGAAAAATTGATGTTTTGGTTATAACGCGGTACCGCTTATAGTGCGGACTTTTGCGACTCCCGCGACATACGTTATATGCGGTCTACACTGTATTCTGAAGACTTTTACGCTAACGACCCGTAAAGAGGACCTAATTAAAATGACTAATTTATTGATAACTCAGGATGTAGTAAAGCTATCTGAAAACTAATTGCATATTTGAAATCACCACTGAGAAATACATCAGTATAGTAAATTGCAGCACAATAACTGAAAGATAAAAAACGCGAAGTTAAAGACCAGCCTCCCCCCTTAAATCGCATCTCACGCGCTCCAACCTTGACAGTGCCTTCTCAAGTCCGTCTCAGCTGAGACGCTGCATTCGAGCAAGCCGGCCCTGGGCAGCAGTCCTTCCGTGCGCTTTAGCTTTCTCTTCCGAGCTGTTTACAAAAAAAAGGAGAACCTTTCTTCTGCGAAAGCGCACAAGAGCAGCAAACGTCCTTGTTGCGATCCAGTAATGTTGGTTCTGACGACGGAGAATAACATCAAAGGTGTAGTCTCTATCGAAGAGTCACCTTGCAAAATGTTTGCGATCGCAACGGTCGCGCTGGATTTTGTAGACAAATCGTCTGCTGCAGTTTCCCAACTGGAATATGATTGTGTAGTGTAGGAAATTGCAGTAATCGGTCCGAGCGGTCGAAGAAGTCACCCACTGGGTTACGAAAATTAAAAAAGCGCAAAAGACAAGGACAAGAGGGAGACAACACAGGACAAGCGCTTTTTTAATTTTCGTAATGTTTAACCAACTAGGCCAACAAATCATTTTGCTACCCACTGGGTGTTTCGTTTCATCGGTGAGTGCGTACACCCTTTGCTGATGAAACTTCAAAATTAACATATATCACTTCCGAATATGCTTCCAGTTTCCCGAGACGTTGTGTGTCGCAACCGATGGGTTGAAGCACTGAACAGGGGAAGCAGTTGGACCCCCTCAAAAAATAACGTGGTGTGCTCGGCGCACTTCCAGTCCGAGGATTTTGAGCGGAGCCTCACTGATTACCATGTCTTCAGTCAACCTTGTAATTATTTTGTCCGTCTGAAAGGGGCACCATAACTATTTTATAAGTCAATGTGTGTTGCAAATCAAGCTAGGCTGTAAATAAGTGTTGCACATATTGTTTCAACTTTAGAAGGGGTTCTAATGCAAATAAAAGGTGAATTAAAACACTACGAGACAAGTGGATCTAAGCTTTACTTGTGGTGACAAAATGAAGCTGCCTCAACAAGGTAAGTTGGTATCCCACAAGCGCAGCAGAAGGGGTATAGAGTTCACCATGATCCCTTTTCATTTCTATGTCGGATCTTTAGAATTTTTGGACGGATGCCTTGCATCGCTAAATCATTTCTCGTTGCCGAAGACATCGCAATCAACGTTACTGGTCAGAACTGTTGCTCAAGCGGTGCTCTGCATTATCACGCAGATCTCACGCTTCAGTGGTTCACAGACTCCGCATCTCGACAATCTCAAGCATCGCCGTGCGTCGCTCCCCGGTCGACTCCGTCCGTCATGCTTAAAGTTAAATGCCAAAACAACAGGGATACAAGAATAGATGCAGACAGGACCAACTGTGTGACTGTTCATCCGCGCTGTTCCATCGAAGCATGAATTGCCAACTAGCCCAAGCGTTCACATTATCAAGGACCAACTGGCCTAACTCGCCGTCTTAATTCCGCCCGTCAATTTCGACAGCTCCATAACTCGTAAATCCCACCGAACGAGGTAAAATTTTATAGTATACCTCCAACCGGCGCACTTCCGGGCCGACTTTTTTTTGTATAACTAGGCTTCAAAAAAATCATGTGATGCCATTCCCCTGCTAAAAATAGACTATGCCGAGCATTTTGTTTCCTGCTGCTACCCGACTTCTCGATTTCCACTGCGCTCGACGCAGTGGAAGTCGAGGCGACAGCAGCTTTGCGGCGGTTGCGGACCCATTCGCGCTGCTGCGTACGTCGCCGCTTTTTCCGCAGCCAGTCTTCTTTCCCCGAAAAGGCACGTGGCTGGCCCATCCCAAGTCCAAGCCGAAACTGATAAGAGCGTAGAAACGGCGCGCAAAACAGACAAGGATGAAGCAACACACGTGACGAGCGCTGCGATCGTTACGTGTGCTTGTTCTTTGTCGTCGTCTGTTTTTCGTGCTGTTTCTTACGATGAATTCCCACCAACATGCCCCACTATCCATTCTTCTATGATAGCTGAAAAGATTACCGCCATCTACGAGCGACGGCGGCAACCAGACTGGTTGTGTGCTGGCCGCCGTCGCTTATAGATGGCAGTAGCTGTCTAGGTAGGTTTGTGTTGACAGGCGTTTGATACCGGACACGATCCTGAGGAACCTAGCCCTTAACAGCTCAGCTGTAAAAGAATGTGGAGGAGAAGGAATACACAACGTTTCGGGCAGACGCCCTTCTTCAAGAAGTCGCCAATATAGGCCCGATCTTGAGAGAAAAAACTATGCCGAAATCACCGCTGTTGCTACACTGATTCTTGACAAAAGGCGTTTGCATTTAGTGCCAGGGTTTCAGGCGGATGCCCTTCCGAAACGTCGTGTATTCCTTCTTGTCAGCATTTATATTACCTTGGTACAAGCAGCCATCTTTCGTCTGGACTAATTTCGTGAGGCCGATGCGCAGTTCCTGCCATGCTGTTTCACTCCGTTCATTCGCCAGTTACGTCCCCTCTCCTCCTTACAAGAAGGAAAGGTCTTCCAGCACGCTCCCAACAATGTGCCGCGGGGGCGGGAGAGGAGGGCGATCAAGCGGCCGTGGCGGTGGCACAACGTAAGCGACAACGTAAAACTGAGACGCAGCGACGACGCCGTTTGTGCGAAACCGCCGACGTCCTGGAGAGAAGATTGGCTCTTCGGTGACAACAGTGTGCGGACCGAGGGCGGGGATCGAGGGAAGCTGTGGTGGCTGCATTCGGAAGCACCAACACCCGGGAGAACAGACTGGCTCTCCGAACACAACAGTATGCGGACCGTTGCAAGGTTGGAATTCCCATCCTTCGCCGAGTCGAAACCCCGATGCTGAATGCAAACACATTCGGTCGAGAATCGGCATAGCGACAATGGCGATTTCGGCATCGTTTTTTTTTTCTCTCAAGACCCATATTGGCGGCTTACTGTATTGACAGCAGATCTTGCTCCGAGAGCGTGTTGTTGGCAGCCGGGTGGCCGGAAATGGCAAATTTTCTTTGGTTCTCACAACATACACATTGGGTTGCATTTCTATTTGTTGCTCATAATTTGTTGCATTATAAAGAAGATTGTTTATTAGCGAATAAAAAGTTTAGGTTTCTGCCTGCCAGAGGACGGTGCCAAGATATTAGCTGATCAGAAGCACGAAAGAAGCACACAGATGGGCAACGTACCATGAAGCCATTGGGACCGCTGCTGAGAAAGGCTGGGCAGGTGTCGCTGACCCACCTGATGCTGTGCACACGGCCGTCGTGAACCAGGTCCTCCGCAAGCAAGGTGATGTTGGCACCACCTACAGTTAGAAACAGATGGATCATGTTGTCAAATTGTTGAGGAGTGTCATCTCCTCATGCAGGAATATAAAACAGCCATTTAAATATATGTTCTTTTAATTTTACATTTAGGAAAACAAACAGGGAGCTTATCATCTCACCAAAAAAACAGAGTAGAGCCCTCAAACGGTTAATTTGCAAAAAACAAAAAAAACAACCTTCATATACCATTATTGTAAAACAATAAATTTGAAAACTACTGTTTTAGATTTTCTTTCTTCCCTCAGGCAATATAAGAATGGAATAACTTAAACAAATAACATTGTAACTAATTTTGATAACTTTGTAGAGTTACACATTGAATAATTTTTGCTTTGGTGTACCGCTGTTTTTCCCTCTTTATCTTTGAATTTACTCCTACAATAAAGAGCTTTTTCAGTGAAACATGTAATACTATACAAAATTGAAAGACGTTTACAACTCCCTCTAATGACGAATTAGAGCGCAGCTCTTGAGGAGGACGAGGGGAGGGTACGGAGGGGAGATGGTATGCCCCTCCTCTCCCTCCCCTCCTCCTCTCCTGCTCCCCTCCCATTTAGCGGGAAATTTTTGCTACATTTCCCGCTAAATTTGGCAGTAAATTTTTTCGCTAAATTTAGCGGGAAAATCTTTTCGTTAAATTTAGCGGGGAATTTTTCCGCTAAATTTAGCAGGGAAAAGTTTCCTGCTAAATTTAGCAGGGAAAATTTCCCGCTAAACTTAACGGGAAATTATTTCGCTAAATTTAGTGAGGAGGATCTTCTTCTAAGTTTAGCGGTAAATTGTTTACTAAATTTAGCGGTAAATTGTTTACTAAATTTAGCGGAAAATATTTTTGATAAATTTAGCGGAAAATTTTTGTGCTAAATTTGGTGGGGAAATAATTCTTCTAAATTTAGCGGGGAAATGTTCAGCTAAATTTAGCGAGGAATTTTTTACACTCAATTTGGCGGGAAAATGTTTCCACCAAATTTAGCGGGCAATTTTTTCCGTTAAATTTAGCGGGGAAATTTTTCCGCTAAATTTAGAAGGTAATTTGTACCGCTAAATTTAGCGTGAAATGCTTCTGCTAAGTTTAACGTTGAAATTCTCCTGCTAAATATAACTGGAAAATTTTTCCGCTATACTTAGTGGGGAATGTTTTCTGCTAAGCTTAGCAGGGACATTTTTCCTCTAAATTTAGCAGAAAAAATCTCCTCTTCCTCCTCCCTCATGATGTCACACGACGTCACCTGTGATGTCATTATGGGGAAATGTCCCATAATGCAAAGTGTGGTTACGCCGACGGCGACGGCACTAAAGCCGGAAACAGGCGCCTAAGAGCTGCGCTCTAAAAAAAGTGTACCTACTAGTAGTCAAAATTTGCAAATAAATTAATTGTATGACTGAAAGGGAATAAAGGTTAGGTTATACATAAACAAAAGAATGAAAGCCGTTTACAATTCCCTGCAACGCCGAATTAGAGCGCAGCCCTTGAGGAGGAGGAGGGAAGGGTACTGAGGAAAGGGTATACCCCTCCTCCCTCCTCTTCACCTCCTCATCCTGCCTGCTACTCCTCCTTCCGAGTAGCGTCGCCGTAACCATGAGGTCACGTGACCCTCATGACGTCACCGGGGTCACGTGACCTCACGGGGTCACTGACGTCACAGGGGTCACGTAACCTCACTGGAGTCACGTCACCTCACTGAAGTCACGTCACCTCACCGAGGTCATGTCATCTCACCGGGGTCATGTGACCTCACGGGGGTCACGAGACCTCACTGGGGTCATGTGACCTCACGGGGTCACGTGACCTCACGGGGGTCACGTGACCTCACGGTTACGGAAATGCCAACGGCGACGGCGCTCAAGCCGGAAGTAGGCGCCTAAGAGCTGCGCTCTAAAATCAATTGCTTGTTATAGACATCCCAAGTCAAACAAATGTCCACACCGAACTAGGTATGTCACTGTGGCTTTTAGACTTGGAATGATATCCTATTTGAAACTCTAATCAATTTAGAGAATTTCAAAGTAATGAGCCATCTCAGTTTTAGCTGCACTAACAAATGGCCCTCCATCATTTCCTTCATGGAAATAAAATATTTTTTTGTGTTATCTCGTTTTAAACACGATCACAATCTGAAACGAAAACTTCTTCGCTTTAGAGAAAGTTTCAATTTCTGAAGTTTTTAGCTTGCGTATTTTACACACATACTAAAATTGGCTGTCTGTTTGGAATTTCCTAAAGGCGTTCTAAATGTGCAGCACTTAGAATGCCCTTGTTCACGCCCGCCTGAAACCAGTCGGTCGCACATGTTACGCTCTGAACAGATTGTCTGTGAAGCGGTGCTCAAACCGCCAATCGGCCACGGTGTAGTGGCAACTGCCTTTGTGTCACTGCTGGACTGGGCGCTCTCGTTTTGCAGCCGTGTCTCTCGCTCCTCCCCCTTCGCCTTACTGTACTCGCTGCTGTCACTCCTGCACCACTTTGGCAGTGCACAAGACTTACAAGCAAAAGCATTCACATTATCTGTACTAGTTTGCCTTGCTGGCACTAAACTCACACTGGGGGAAGTCCCTGCTCCAAAAGGACTCATCGATCGCATGCTCCACACTGCAAGCTCTGCACTCCATCGAGGCAACATCCCAGCCACGGATAAGAAAGCGAGCTGGCCACATAAATATATGCATTTAAAGGAGCTGTGCAACAGTTTCAGTGCTTTGTTTAAATAATTGGGGGTTGGTGTCTCCACCTTTCTGAAGTAAAGAACAAAAAACCACTTTTGCCTGCATGTCCTAGTTGTTATTTTAAAAACGGACAAAATTTGAGATTTTCAGCACCCCTCAACCCCTTCACCAGGGCCGTAACCAGGGGGGGGGTTAGGGGGTTCTGACCCCCCCCGAAATTTTTTTTTGGGTACGGCCCTGGTCGGTGCACTGGCAGCCAACGATTCTAATCTCCACCTCTGCGCACGCGCAGTGGCGCCGGTCGGCTACCGGGTACCAAACCGGGACCGGTTCTCCGGTTTGCTGTAACTCTCCATTATATGCCACCGATGCACATGATTCATAGGCGAAAATAAGACAATAGACACTTTCAAAATGGCCGCCGTTGTCCCCGAAAACCCCCCCCGAAATTTTTTTCTGGGTACGGCCCTGCCCTTCACCAACTTCCGAGTCATGTGCGCTGTGACGTCAATGGGGGTCGCGCGGGGTTCCAGTGAAGCTCTCTCTCTAGAGCCATCAGTGTAACACTGATACAATTTATGAAGTCAAATCCAGCAAAGTGTTGAAGGTCCAGCCTACCCGGAGATGAAACACCCCGTAATTCCATTATTCAGGATAAATGTGTTAATGACCCTTCTGATGTTTTGACTAGATGTAATGAGTATTTTATGTCTGTTTATACTCTGGATAACGGCTGAGAACCTAGTTTTTGTCCCACTATATCATGTCCACCGTTAACAAACATTCAGGTTAATGACTCTGGTGTACTTAATTTGCCCCTAAACCTTGACTGTAAAAAGAGGTCAGGCCCAGATGATATTCCAAATTCTTTTCTGCATCGTTACTCCGTCTGGACATCGAGATATTTAAACATAATTTTCCAAAAGTCTCTTTCATCCGGAATGGTTCCTCGACTTTGGAAATCAGCAAGAATAATTCCCATTTTCAAAACGATATCAAGGGTGGCGTCTAGGACAATGTCGACATCAAGAATGCCCTCTAGGACAACTTCTAGGACTGCAGGGACGTCAAGGAAGGTGTCTGGGATGACGCTAAAAACGACTTTGAGGACGACGTCAAGAATGATGCCTGGGACGACCTCTAAGACGACTTCTGGAACGACCTCTAGGATGATCTCGAGGATAACCTTTAGGACAACGTCAGGTCACGTCAGCTTCAGCTACCAGCGCTTACGTGACCGAAGCTTACACGACCAATGCTTAACAGCTTGCGCGACTGGCGCTTCAGCAAAAGGCACTTGAGCTACGGGTGCTTTAGCCACCGGCACTTCAGTTACAAGCACTTCAAGCACCATCACTTCAGCCACGGGCATTTCGTGACCTTGAATATGCAACCTTGAGTGTGGTTGGGCCTATGAAGTAAAACATTAAAGATGCTTTGAGACAAACACCCACAAGCAGATCCAGCAGATCCGAGCATGTGCGGTACCATCTGTGATTAGCAGCTTCATCCAATTTTTACCGTTTTCTCCCTCTGCATAGAAAAAAACTGAACATTTTAGGCTTCATCTTTTTTAACCCACACATGAAATTTGAGTAACATAAATGGACCATTTAAAGACACCTTTGTGAAAATTTTCAGTGCACTTCGTTTGTTTATTCACAAACATTCTTTTATGCCCGCATAGCATTCAGTAACACCCTGTACAAGGCAGCCGTTTCTAAGATGCACACTTGGAACATGCCCGCATCTTCGATAGATGGCGGCATTATATGAATAGGACAGTGCACTCGCAGATTCAAAATATTCGTTAAAAGCACTCCAGCCCCCTTAACGGCAACTGAAGGCCTCCTTCGAGGCACTTCTGCTGGCTAGCCCTTACCTGTACACTTGAAGACCAAAATGTGTCCCTTGATGCTGCCCACAGCAAAGTAGTTTCTCCTTGGGGACACTGACAGCACGCTGTACGAGACGAGGTAGTCTCTCTGAAGGAGGGCTTCCATTGACAACTCGCGGCCGCTTAGAATCCACCGCAGCAGACGCCTGCAACAAGTGCAAGACCACACAAAGTGCAGGCTAGACAGATCTCCCGAAATATTATTGTTTCAAGGAACAAGAGTTGTCAAAAGATGTGTCTGAAGTTGTCCAGTCATCCTGGAGCCCTTACTGAGCCCTTGAAAGAGACCACCACTGAAGCTATCAAAGTTTTGCTGGCAGACAAACGGTGCAACCTCCTTGTCATTCCAGAAGGGACAGCTTCTCAGCTGAACAGATGCCTAAAACTTGATGCCTCAAAATATTGTTCTGAGTGGATGAAGTTATGCAATCACAGGTTGATGACTGCTGGTAGGTTTAAACACACAGCTCTATCACAGATTTCGAAGTGAATTCTGAATATCTGCCACACCACTTCAAATACCATTATGGTGGCTTATGTGTTCAAGAAATGGGGCATGTAACCACACATATCAAATCCTGCAAGACACACAGCCATGGTGATAAGCCCTATCGCAAAACAGTCATTCCAACACCCTTGACAGCACTAAAGATGGCGTTGCGAGACAATAATTGCAGGGAACAGAACAGGGGCGGTGAAGGAAAGCCCACCGGAGAAAAGCTCACTGGAGAATAGCTCACTGGAGAAAAGCTCACCAGAGAAAAGCTCACCGCAAAACCAGCAGATGCAGAGAAAAGCTCACCGGCCTTTGAACGGATGCAGAGAAAAGCTCACCGGCTTTTGAGCGGATGCAGATAGAAGCTCACCGATTTATTTTATATTTTCTTAGGTTAGCGGATTGTGTGGCACACGTGGCAATTTAACACAATTACAATTCGTCACATCATTAAAAATAATTATTTTTTGTGATATTCTTGAAGTTCATTGGGCATATTTACCAATTCCTCAGAAATTAGTAATCACCCATTCCGTATATTAATGACGCAGCAAGAATAAAATCAGAACCTCGGACACCCGTAAAAAGACAACAATTTATTGACAGCTTCACAGTGAGCCGTCGGTAGCACAGTCTAATAAAAAGGTAGTTTTTTTTGTTTTTTTTTAGTTAATATAAATAGCAATGAGTCAACCATTTCAGCTCCGAAGATTCTGTGGTACCTGTTAGGCAAGTAAGTGTTTGTTGATAAAATTAGAGTCTGCTACGCTGTTTTCTTTCTGTTATTTTCACTAATAAAACTTTAGTTACGAGAACAGCTTTGTCCTGTCGTGTTTGGTGTCTTCACACCGTCTTCGTAGTTTGAGCGGTTTCCATCATGCATAATGTTAACCAGCTTGCCCAATTTGCAACCTTACAGAAGACTAGTTTTTATATGGGTCACAAGTAACAACGGTGACAGTGTGCAACTCTGAAGGTCATGGGTGGCTTGCCGTAGAAGGGCACAATCACACAAAGGCGACGTATGGAAACACCAGCACAAACAGCTATAAAACGTGCATGTCTGTGGAAGAAAGAAACCTCAATATCCTATTGACAGTTCTATTTTGTTTACAAAGGTTAACAAAAGCTTCAAAGAGATTTTCGGGCACCGCATTGTTGCGCATGCACTTTCAAATTTAAGGCATTTACAGTTTTGCTTTTTAGGTTTCAGGCAGACATTATAAGTTTTCAAACTGTTTCCTGTTCTTCAAGTTCATAAATTTTTACGTTAGGCTTTCGTTGCCTAGAGAGCAGTGTTGGGAAGTACATTAAGTACATTGTACTTAAAGTACTACTTCAAGTAGGTTTAGGAAACTCATACTTTGCTTGAAGTATGTTCTCCGAGTATGTACTTGTACTTTACTTAAAGCATTTTTTTTCCGGTACTTTCCAAGGAAAGTACAATTCCCAACTTCAAAGTACATTCCCCAAATTTGATTTTGTTAAATTTGTATCATGAAATTATGCTTTGTAAGCTACAAAGAAATACTGAAAGGGATATTCTATTCTCACCAGAAACGTGAGCAGACGACGCATCACTCCGCTTGTTCTGGGGGCGGCTTTCTTGTAGCTTTTTGAACTCTCGCTACTTCTCGGTCGGTCAGCGCAAACAAGGAGGTTTAAGATATCAGGAGAGCAAATTAATCATAATGTAGCACCTGAGACTGTAGAACGAAAAAATTAAATTTTCAAGTCGAAGTAAAAGACAACAGAAGAGAATGCGTCACAATGTTTTGAGACATTCTCTTTTGTATTTCCTTCTATTTGAAAGTTCCTTAATTTTTTCACACCCCAATCTCAGGTGTCATATTATGATTAATTATCACCAGCTCACTTGCACACTCACTGCTTTTTTGTTGTTTTTCTTTCATTAAGGGGAGGATACTTTTCTATGAGAGGATTGCTTGCGGAAGCTACGGGCTTCCGCAAGCTTGCTCTCTCCTTGTACATTTAACCCCTTTGGGTGCAACAATCCAGTGCAAGGGGCGTCAAACACAAAAGACAGTCTTATTCGACTCCATTCCGGAGAATAACAACTCTGTGCTCACTTGACTTTATCAAATATTCGCCGCTGTTTATTGAAAATAGGTCTCGCACCCCTGATTACCCCTGGGAAATGCATACAAGTTAAAAAATCACTACATAGGGGAATCAAAGGACACCATGAAAGATTGTATTAAAATACTTGTACTTTACTTTTAAAGTACATTGTATTTATAGTACTTTACTTCAAGTACATTGCACCCTGTGTACTTACTTTACTTAAAGTACATCACGTCTCATTTACTTTGTACTTTACTTGAAGTTCCATTTAGATGTACTTTACACAACACCCCTGCTAGAGAGTAAACCACAGAAAATACTCGCCAGGCAATCATTAATTTGGGAGCAATAAACCCAATAAGCTTAACAAATATTACAAAAAAGGACATTTTCTTTTTTACAAAGCTGACGAATTTTAATGATAAGAAATTGATATATGTTATGCATGATCCAACAGATATGAAAAGAAGAAAAAGAAATCGGTGAGCCTTTCTCCGCATACACTTAATGACCGGTGAGCTTTTCTCCATATCCGCTGGTTTTGTGGTGAGCTTTTCTCCAGTGAGCTTTTCTCCGGGATACCACAACAGAGGTCGTAACCATGAATAAGCAAAACCAAGCAAATATTTTTGTTTGAAATCTCTGCACATCGTAGGTCACTTTAAATTTAAGACCCTTTTACTCTTGAGTAGATAGTAGATAGGGTATGTGATGTTAAGCGGAACTGATATGTGACATTCTTCGTGGTATGCACACATACGGGTAACATGTTGTCACATCAAAACAATTACAGGCATGTTCCTTCAGCCAAACGCGATGGAATGCGGCAGCTCTACAGGAACATCATTAGCAAAAACAATTAGGAAGGGAAATGGCATGGTGATGAAATGGTTATATGCCGTGCACACATCGAAGACGTCAAGGACGGCGTTTAGGACAACGTCTAGGATGACCTCTAGCTCGACGTCAAGAACAGCGTCGGGGATGACCTCTAGTACAAGCTCAAGGACGACATCAAGGATGACCTCTAGGACGACCCCTAGGACGACCTCAAGGATGCTGTCTAAGACGACGCCGTCAAGTACGGCGTTTAGGACGACGTCCTAGAGGACATTGTCAAGAACGACCTCTGGACAACCTCTAGGATAAACTCAAGGACGATTTCTAGGACGATGTCAAGGACATCAGGTCACAACAACCTCCACTACAGACACTTATGCGAACGGAGCTTACGGAACCGGTGATTACGTGACCTTGATTATGTGACCTTAAGCTTCAGCCACAGGATTACATGACCTTGATGACATTGCCTTGAGGGTATAACCTTGATGATGAGGACATGACCTTGAGCATGGCTGAGCTCATAAAGCTACTGCTTTAAATGTCAAAACCTGCCAAGCTTAGGCATAGCATGTGCACTACCATGGTAACGTGCATAGCACCGTACGATGGGGGAAGCTGGCACTGTACAAAATAAACCCGCCCTAACCAAATCAAACTAGGTGGGCAAAAAGAACTGAATACACACCCTTCATTAGTGACAACAAGCAGTGACATGGTTCCAAAGCAGTCCACGAGAGCCAAGTTCCTAGGGAAATTGCTTCCTACCTGAAAATAATGAGCAAGAGTTTTGAAGATTGTGGTCACTTGACAACCATCCTAACCATATCTATAAGACATGACCGAGTTTTCAAAACCAGTACAAGACAATAGACGCTTTCAAAATTAAGTCTGGCAACTTCAATCACTATCATCATCTCAATACATATATGGCATCTGTGCCAAAACTAATGGGGGCCTTCTTGGGGCTGATGAAGGAAGAACTTGAAGACACTACCAAGTGGAGGATATGAGGTATTTGTGTGTACACGACACACAAATTAGATACAACGATTGTGTAAGCATTTATTTCGGAGTGTGGTCAAATTAATCTTATGGCACAAGTTTCGCCCTAAAGCCTTTTGATGAAGTTAATTTAATCAAGGGGCTTATGGGTTGCTGCTTTGTACTGGTCAGTTATTATGTTCACACCATTGAAACTGAAACAAATCAAAAAAGAATTACAAGGCAATCCAAGAACCAATTCTCATGTGCCCGTGAAGTGTGAAAGTAACAGTGCCCGATGATTCATGGCCACCATTGTTCTGCCGAAAGTGAAACTGCTTTTGGAGCCACCAGATGGCACTGAATTTTGAAAAGGATCTACTGTTTCAGTTTTTGGGTAAACAAAAAAAATCAGAAACCATATAGTCAACTCTCGGTAATTCAAAGTCGCATAATTCAAATTTTCGGTTAGTTTGAAGCACGGGCCCGGCCCCAGCAATTGTACGTACAATGCTATGGGGGAAAACATGCGGTAATTCAAAGGCTATATGTTGGAAGCTGGTTAATTCGAAGGGTTTTTTGTGTGCACCTAAGGTCCAGAAACCCCGGGAGCAAAAAAAACAAGCGCAAGCGCAACCACGCAATGCCATGGCCCGCAGCCGCGTTAGCCGCATCACTGGCGTTGCCACACTAGGGATGATGCAATCTGATGCAATGCGCGACGGCGCCGCAGTTCGCTGCGGCTTGGTGGCGAGGAAGCAAACAAAGAGCCTTGAGTATGCAGCTGTTTGCTTGTTTGCTTTGGGCTCTGCTCTCCCGCTCTATGCCCTCCCCTCAAGAGGAGAGAGGGAGATAGGTGGCGAGAAGGTTGGGTGGAGTTTGGCGGAACCGCGGGACGGCGCGAGCAGGTGGTGTTGCACCCCTGGAGTCTTGACAACGAAGATCCGAAAGTGTATTGGCTCATTCGTACGTGCTTTGGCACAGCCCAACAATCACTCCGTCGTGCTGCTTTGGTATCAAGATGGCTCAGCGGGGTAAGTAACATGCACTGGACCTCGCTACCAAAGTTAAAGTGCTGCAAGAAGTCGAAGAGAGTGCATTGTCAAAGCAGGACATTGCCCAGAAATACTGCATCAAGCCGAATACGCTCTAGACATACTTAAAGAACGAGCATTCAATAATGAATGTGTACGAGCAAGAGAAGTTTCAAGTTTCACGTAAAAGAATACGCACTGGTGTGCATCCAGACGTTGAAGCGGCACTCTTATTGTGGATCAAGCAAGCACGAAGCCACAAACTGCCATTGAGTGGCGAGATGATCTCAAAAGAAGCTCAGATGTTGGCGGCGATGTTGAACGTTGAGCATTTTTCTGCTACTGACGGGTAGCTTTTCCCGCTTTAAGCAGAGACATAGCCTTGTATTCAGGAGTGTGTGCGGGGAAAGAGCATCTGTGGACCAAGACACCTGCAGAAATTGGAGAGATGGGAAGCTCAAGGACTACCTGCGGCAGTACCCTCTGGATGATATTTTTAACGCTGATGAAACTGCGCTCTATTGGAAGTTACTGCCTGACAAAACGCTAACATTTAAGGAGGATGACTCCGCAGGAGGTAAAAGTGAAGATCAAGTTTCGGTGCTTTTGGCAGCAAACATGACTGGGACAGAACTTTGTCGCCTGCTAATCATCGAAAATCCAGGTGTTTTAAACATGTGAGAACCCTGCCTCTGGACTAGAAAGCTAACGACCGAGCTTGGATGACATCTAACCTGTTCTGCCAGTGGGTCTGCAAGCTGGACCGGAAGTTTGCTGCAGCTTGCCGAAAGGTGCTACTTCTCGTGGATCAGTGCAGCGCTCACGTGAAGGTTTCTGACCTAACTACAATTCGTCTGTCTTGCCTGCTCACGAATGCCACCTCCATACTTCAACCTATGGATCAAGAAATAATAAGAAACCTCAAGGTTCTTTACAGACAACATCTGCTTGAATGAATGATATTGTGTATGGACACCAGATCAGAATACCAAGTTAACTTGCTCAGCACCCTTCATTTGCTCGCGCGCGCCTGAGATCAAGTGGCGACGGCAACTATAGCCAACGGCTTCCACCACTGCGGGTTCGTCACGGTCGACGCCGTCAGCGAGGCCGGCGAGACTGGAGATATTGCCGACAAAGCTGGGCCAGAAGAGGTGCCCGCAGGTAGTGAACTGAGGGAAGCCCTTGGAGATGTTTCGTTTGATGAGTATGTCGATGTTGAGAAGCACATTGAGGTTTCTGGTCCGCTTTCGGACATCGAAATAATCAAAGTGGTTAGACCTGGTGTGGTGGTGCAAGGAAGTGACAATGACTCTGACGACAAGGAACTCTCACCGCCGTCGATTCCTGCGCCGAGTGCCGCTGACACAGAAACTGTATTAGGCGTCGTAGAATGTTTTTTCTCGGGCAAAGAGAATGCCGAAGATGCCTTACGACATATACCATATTCACGCGATTCTAAGCACCCCCCCAAATTCTCCAGTCACGACTACAAAAAAAAAAGTTCGCACACGAATGTAACCACCCTCACTTTTACCCATATTTGCATCCGAGCGGCGCCACACAGGAGTACGGCGAGACTTGTGGATTGCGCAGTTCCAACACCGGTGGATAGGTAGATGACGGCACATAATCTGCGACTGGCGTTCGGCGTCCCGTGCATAGCCGTCGTGATTAAGTTACCCCGTGACTGCGTCTGGCACGTTCTGCGACTGTGCCATCTTGTTTCATTTACAAAGCCTGAGAAGTGCAAGTGGTTCGGGTTTCATTGTCCTGTTCAAGATCAACATGAGTGTGAAGTGGAACTCCTACACGCTAAAGTTCAAGAGAGCGGCAATCTTGTTTGCAAGAGGAGAACGGGAACCATGGCGCGGCTGAGTAACTCGGCATCCGCGCGTGCGTGATCCGCTGGCGGAAAGCACGGGGACAGATTTTCAAGGGTGCTGCTACGCACGTTCACACTGCTCCTCCCAGTACTCTTTGAACCACACTGGACATTTATTGTGACCACAGTGATTGAAAATGTGCAGAAATGTGCTCATCTTAAACAATTGTAGTGCACTGTATAAAACATTTTCAGCTCACGATAAATAAATGCTCGTTTATGAAAACTTGTTTCCTAAAAAGACGAAGAGAAAAAGGTGTTCCACAAAAGTATCCGCCGGGAGGTGGCCTCATGGCATGTAGGTTTAACTAGTCTGGAAATTTCTCCTATCTATCCCTGAAGTGAAGAGGTCCATACGGCGAAATTGGCATGCCTCCATGGAAGGCTGAGCAACACCTCCTAGAAGCTGAGGCCGTAGCGTTCCGAGTCGTGATGTCACATTGGCCGGAGAAGGGAAGCCACGTTGAGAAAAGGTGTTCTCTGGTTCTCTTTACCCCGGCCGCATTGTCTGCTCACTCGGGTCACGTGGTTTGTTTGTGCGCATTTATCCGACATTAATATACATTTTAAAAGCGCATCCTTGTATAATTTATTATATATAATCTATACATAAAGTATGACGCGTTATGAAGGTTGAAAGTACCAAATTTATATTTATGATTATCCCTGTAACCACAGGATCACAGTGCAGTCCCGCAGATCCCCACAATTTTCGAATGAACCGGCTACGGTGCAACATTTTCTTCCTTATACAGGCTCAGATTCTGGTAAATTTATGTAGTGCGTGAGCTGCTGACTGTCTGAAAAGGAACGCCGAGACGTCTGAGAAGAGAAGGGAACCGAAAAAAATCCAGTCATCACCACAGGGAGCACACACGAGCAAGAGACGGGACGACAACGTTAAGCCTTTTGTCCCATGGTTCTGCCGCTGCTCTCGAGTGTGGTTCTTTTGTGTTCTCTTGATACTATGGCATTTACGTGGATTTGCAGAGCAAGTCTTGCTACGGTGTGAGTGACATGTGTGGCAACTAGTCAATGATGACACCGGTCAATTATCGATAAACCTCTCCCTCGACAAAGAGAGAGACTTTTTGTGTTCAAATTTTTCATGATGGATACTACAGGATGTATGGATACGATCGACAGGTGAGAAACAACTTATTTACGGGCTTTGTTGGTCACGTAGGACGCGAGTGGAGTGTGCAGTTGGTTGCTTTTTTATCTTGTGATAGAATGAAATCTCGCTCGTCGTTATCCATGAGCAATTGCATCAACATTTGCAAATATGCGTGGCAACATTAAAGTTTTCAGTGGAAGGTGAATAACAAGTTCTGTGATTATTGAAAGTGCATTGTTTGTGCTTGTGTGTTTATTTTTACTAATTTCATTTTATTGCCTTTAAGGCAGCTTGAACCCATGGGGAGATGTGGATTAGTTGACTGTAAATAGTAAGTTTAGTACCCCTGCCACACGGAAAAGTTAACATCTTTTCATTAAATGATAAGGGATTGAATCAAGTCACAATCCCGAGCGACTATACGAGCGTCGCGAGCTGATTTGCCAACCCCATAATAGCATTCGATCGAAATTACATTAATATTGCCATGTGGCCACGATATAAGCAAGGATTTTGGTAACTGCATCCGTTTCCATCGCTCATCACGATTGTGACACTTGTCTAGTTGTGTCCGCGTTGACGTCTACCTGATCTTCACTGTGATCCATCTTGCTCTGTCCAATCACTGCATGTCTCACCATTTTGTGGGAGTAATCCTGTATAAAATATGCATTCCTACAGCAATAATTGTATGGCTCAATGTTTTCGACTTAAAACAATCACATTTTTCTGAAGACGTCATATACGCATACCTCCTGCCATTTCATAACGATTATTTAGCAGTGTAATATTTTGCCCGTGTGATAAAATGTTTTCTAACCCTGTTGCTATGTCCAGCTTTCAATTTAGCTAAGAAGACACGCTTACCTATGCGACTAAAAGCGTGTTACGGTGGTTGATCCATGTGTGCCCCCAATGGCCTTCCCTCGCAACGTCGTGAGAAGAGCGCTATGACCCTAGCTTCTAGGAGGTGTTGGAAGGAGGGAAAGCACTGGGAAAGCTTGCAGTGACCCCACAGAGCTCCAGTGCCAGGGACAAGCTAGCCCTCACGTGAAAGCCGCAAGAAAGTGCGCCTTTTCACTCTAGCCCGGCCGTGGCTCAATTCAAGTGGAAACTGCATACGCACAGTGAAAGCCTCAATCCAGGTGGTCTTGGAAGCATGCCCGAGGACATCCGAGAGATGCCAAATGCAGACAGCTGATCCACTGCTTCCCGTCACCTGACAAGGGGCAGAATTCATTAACCCCTTTCAAGCTGCACGCCACTCCCTAGAACACAGTCAACAATACTGACATCACAAAATATTGCCAAAAAATAGAAGGTTCTTCACAAAACGCTGAATATTGCCAGGGTAACAAAACTACTTGAAAATAAGGACAGTATAATCTCAGTAATACAATATCGGTACTGTCAAACCCGATTACAACAAACTTAGGTATGGCATGTTAACAGCTACAGTGTATCAAACACATGAAAATGTACAATCAGTATGCATGCAAAATATATCTCGCACAACGAACTACACTATATCAAATTGCCGGCACCTACAACCACGAGCAAACATTGAAGCTCCGGCACTTCCAGCACTCGGCTTCATTGGAATGCAGGCATGCGATGAAGCCTCGCCGGCATGAAGCCTCAACATAGTTACGCTTAGTCACGCGCGCTAGCAGTGTAGTACCCTTATCAGGTTTTATATTTCGTAAAAACCACGGCACTTTTCAGCCAGTCGACTCCGTTACCGGTGGTTCTAGAACAGACAGAATTTGGGCACACACACAATCAACGCCACGCCCACGCCCCCCCCCCCCCCCCCCCCCCCCCCCCCCCCCCCCCCCCCCCCCCCCCCCCCCATTGCAGACCGAGCCTCGGCATCGTAAACTTGCTTCCCTAGGCCTCCTGCAACTCGGCATTTTGTTCTGCAATCTGGTGCAGTTCACGGTTCAAGACGACGACGAAGCAGCAGCACGCTCTTCAGCTCTCGAACAGGGTGAACAACATTACTAGATAATATGCCGTAACAACACTGACGAAATTAAGAAAGATCTAGACAGGACGCGGCATAACTTTCAAATGAATGGTTTATTTAGGAAAATGCACAAATAAAAATAAAAACCAACACGTGCTTGCAGAACACTATAAGGTCTAAGCACTAGTGGTGCAAAACTATCAATAATACTATCGATAGTTGCCAGAAATCTGGTTATCGATAGTAAAAAAAACTATCGATAGTAGTCTAGATAGTCGACTACTAAAAAAGTATCGATAGTACTATCAATAGTCGACTAGCGAAAAGCTATGAATAGTGCCATCGATAGTCGACTATCAGAATATTATTGTTTATCTACTATCGGAAAACTATCAATATAGTCGACTATCGTAAACCTATCAATAGTACTGTCGACGGTTTACAATTGATAGTTTAGCAACACTAGTAGTCTGCGTCGCTCCCTCTTCTCTTTTTCTCGCTTTATTTTTTTCAAATGGGACACCAACCAGCCCAAGCACTTACCATGCCAACTTTGGTTCAGCTTTCAGTGATAACGAAGATGGGAGTTTGGATGAAGAGAGGAAGAAGGGAGGCGAGCGGCGGTGCGGCAACTATGTTCGCTCTAGTAGTGTGAAACTATCGATAGTACTATCGATAGTTCTGCGGCACTGTTGATAGTTTTGGAAAAACTATTGATAGTATCAATAGTCAATTTATTAATAGTTTTGCATCACTACTAAGCACACTCCCTAGAAAACCAGCGTCGCTGGTTCCCCATAGAAATTATTCGTCAAATAGTCGCCATGTCAAATGCGGTGAAAAAAAACTCAGACGTTGCAGCTGCTTTTAACATATCTAGGAGTATGTTAAGCACTCTGTGCGTATAATAAACATATTGTAAGAATTTGTTATAAGCAGGTTTTGCTATAACTAATTATTGGGTGTATTGAACAAAACCAGGCACTTTATACAGTTCGTTATAAACGAGTTTGACTGTATATTCAAAATCGCGGATAATTCGCAAAATTTTTACAATCCTATAACTTGGTTGGATAATATGAGCGCCAGCATGCATCTACAGTGTAGACCGCATATAAAGTATGTCGTGGGAGTCGCGAAAATCCGCACTATAAGCGGTACCGCACTATAACCAAAACATCAATTTTTCAGGCCAAAATACATGCCATGAGGCAACTTACACTTGTGAAAAGAATTTATTTTATGTTAGATGGAAAATAAAGCTTAGTTTGAGGAAAGTCTTTATTTCACCTGACTAGTACAGTTCTGCCTCAAGTGTGTTACACATTTTGAAAGAAATGAGCAGCTTTTGCCTGGCGCAGCCTTTTAACGGCGTCGCGGGTTGCGGACGGACGTTGAGAGCGTTCAGGATTGCTAACCCTAATCACTTTTCTCCGGAGATGAAAACGCGTGAAAATTCGCATCCTTCACACGGTACGTGCCAGTAATACCTTCAACTTGAGCACAGGCATGAAATGCTCCAAATAAGAAATCCGGGCGATGTTCGAAAACACAGATGCTTAGAAAGCACCACTGTAGTCGAAGTAAACAAACACGACGACACGGGCGTCTCTGCCGTCTTGAGAGTGCCGCCACAACATCGCCGCACGAGTAGGTGGATCTTCCCTTCTAGTACGTGCTGGGTTATCATAGCGACACACAACGAAAATTCACAGTCAAGGATAGTGCTTTTACGCGGAACGATGAGATGAACGCCGTCTACGACGACGATCACAACCGACGCCGTGTTTGCGGATAGAAGCAGCCGGCCCCGACCGGCATGTAACGCGCGCAACACTTCTCCTCGACCTGCGATTGGTCTGTCGCTGCGGTTGTTTGTTTCCAACGCAGCGGAGGGACGCACGCACGTGAACGACACGTGCGTGCGTCCCTCCGTCGCTATGGCAACTGAAGCCTTTCGCTTCCTCCCGCTTCTTCGAGCAACTCGGCTCTGGAGCAACTGCCACAACTGCCACGCGAGTGCCGCTTGCTGCTCGCGCCGTCAGCGCCGTTATCTAGTGTCGCACAGGGAAGCGCGCTCGCTGCTCCGGTCGTCGGCGCGGCCGGCGGGCTGTGCCAGAAACCGCACTATAACCGGTATTTCCCTTCGCGCGCCTGCATTTTAAGCGGTATGTAATTACATGGAGTTCTATGGGAGGCAAACCGGTGGTTTAAAAAAACCGCGTTATACCCGGTCCTGCACAATAAGCGGTTACGTTGTAAGTGGTCTATACTGTACCTGGTGAATTTGCCAATGTGATTTTTCCAGTTAACTTTCTAGATGCTAGATGGTGCAAGCTGGCATCCCAACTTAGCAACAAAAAACAAGCATTGAACACTGCCCGTGGCACACTCATGGGCACGCAGCATGCTTCACCGTTTGCCGCTGGCCAGCATCACAAGCTTAAAGGCCGACCTACAGAACTGTCTTCTGCCAGGCAGAAAACCGGTTCCCAGTTTCCTTCTCTTCACTCCCCCCTGCAGTACTCTCCACCTCCCACAGGGGCGGGTGTCTGCCCCTGTGGGGAGAGGAGAGCTACTCCCAGCAGCAAAGAGGGAGTCTCCCTCTTTCTTGAATAGAAAGGAGGAATTGAGGGAGAGTTCCCTCCTTTCTGCCAGCTCGTCGGCCTTTAACCACTTTACACCAACATGTAAGGAGAAGCAGCTGGCACAGCTAGGTGAACATATGCATTATATGTAGGCCGTAGCTTTCTCTTTTAGCCGAAAAACACCAATAAACTTTCATCGGTGCAAAAAGTATCAAATAGGTTAAAACCGAAAAACACAAATTTTAGCTCCAATTAGGACTGTTTTTGTCGAACCCCTCCACTTGTTACACTTGAACTTCTAGGTTTTTATGAGTTCTTTTTGCTGATGATCACTGTTTTTAACGTCCGTTCGAAACAGACAAAAAGATTATGATAATTTTAATGGGCCACAGTCGTCGCCGGCAGTCTCAATATATTTTTTAGAAGCAAGCCGGAACAAGGAAGCGATCGAGCAGGAAAGACGACACACAAAAGAACAAGCTCAAACAAACACAACGAACAGAACGACCCTCGCCATCTGTTGGCAATGTATCCAACTACACTACCCAAAGTCTACATAGCGCGCCATCTATGAATGGCTCTTTAAAACAAAAATTCATACAGACCGGCGAATTGCCAGCTTTGGCAGTATGGACCCTGACGGCACACTTGGCGATTCGCCGGCTTTGGTAGCGAATGGGTTAAATTCTGCTACAAATAACCTTGCAAAACTATGGGATAGCTGATGTAGTAAATCTAAAGCAGATTATGAGAATGATAAGAAAAACATGTAAAAAAAAATGCCATAAAAAAATTAGAAGCATTTTGAGAGAAAAATATACTTCCGAAAAAGAAACATAAAAGCAACGATGTAATAAAATAATACAGCTTTTCTACAAACATACCTGAACTCTGATTGCAAAAAAGACAGAAAGAAATGTGAAATGAGCAGAAAGCTAAGTAGAGCCAAGCGTTGTTTGTTTCCCTTTCCGCTGCATGCTGTTTGTTCCACCTCTTTCAACCAAACAACCATCCATCTAACCAACCAGTTGAACAAGATGGAATATTCAGCGCCAAGAGAAAATCCCTCTTTTGCATTGATAAGGCACATTCAATGCATTCAATACATGAGAGCATCCATTTGAGAAGAAAAATGAAAAAATATGAAGACGAGGCACAATGCAAGGCTCACAAAAGCTTTCTTTGTTAAAACCAGCTTGTGCAAACAAATGCCTGTTCTCTACTTCATGATTGGAAAGGGTTTTATTCTGAGCACCAATGAGCCAAAGTAATAAAGTTGTTTCATGGTCCCTTTTAGTCATTCCTATCTCTGAGCACACATATGTGTGAACACAGATAGAAACTAGGGGTGGGCGAATACCGAATAGTGGTTATCGAATCGAATACCGAATCGAATTAAGAAAAAGAGCCAAATATTGAATCGAATATTGAATAGTGATTTTATTTATAGGAACTTTTCAAAGTGTGCTGTAAATGAGATGATTATATGTGCAGAGTATGCGCCTGGTGCAAAATATGCATCTCGTACAAAACAAAAGCTCAAATGTATAAAAGGTCTAATGAAGAAGAAAGAAAAAAAAAAAAAAGAAAAGCAGCTGCTGATAGACGTTGGGCACTGAAGACCCAATTTTACAGCGCGAACATAATCATCTACCCTAAGCGTCACAAAAAACCTAAAGTTACAGCCACGCCTGCTTTTTTTTCTCGTTAAAAGCACGACCTAACACCGCGACATGGCCTTTTTTTTTCATATTTACATATATATATATATCTCAGAAAAGGGCCAGTTTGCGATATTTGGTCTCAATTTTAAGAGAAAAAAAGGGCACCCGGGATTTTATTTTATGTAAATAAACAGATAGCTGTTAAATCTGAGTAAAGAGGCTTAAACAATATAATCTGTTAGAAAAAAATCAACATGTGCTTAGGTGGCGCAAGTCACCGTCCAAATACCGCTACGTATCCATTCCTCCGTCCATCTATTCTGTTTTAGACAGCCTAGATTTAAAAGAGGGAGCAAGCGAAACTGAAACCATGGAGACGGCTCCTGCGTAGATAAGTCGTAAGTGAGCATGTGTTGTGTAGTCGCGTGGAAAAAAAGCGAGCAAACCAACACAGCTTGCCCGATCGGCGCTTTCGCCTTTTCGTCACCTTCTCGCAGTTCGTAATTCAAACACGGCTATCGAACGGTTGAAAACCCTCTCGACTCTAGGCACACTATTTTTCCGTTCCACTTCGTTCTGAATCATAATTTGTCGCTTGCGGTTCCGAAAGATTGATGACGACAACTTGGCCGGTTTCATCGGCATGGTTAACATGGTTTTCTTTTTGTGATCTTGCAGTCGCCAATTTCTGTGAGTGTGGCAAGTGTTTTTCATCAGCGCTTCAATTTGAAATGAGGGACTTTACTCGTGAAAAGAATTAGGCATGGCACAGAATTTTAGCCTCCCAAGCGGCGCAAACGGGATGTTTGGTTGTGATTCAAGGTTAGAGTGCGTCAAAATCATGTGTAAATCTGCGTGCTACAAAGTTTGTGGCGTTCGTTACTTTTCTTTTCTCTAACCGTGCATTAGATTTTTGTTGAGTGGTAAGACCAAGCGGTGTTTCTCGCATGGTATGTCGAACATCACGGCACTAATATCCGGAGAAAAAACCGCTCTTTTGTGTCGGCTCCGCACCGACCGCGTGCCTTTGGCCAAATATATAGAATATTCGAGTGACCGAATACTAGGAATTCAATTCGCAAATCAAATTATTTGGGAACTTTCTATTCGATTCGAATTTGTATATACGAGTATTCACACACCCCTAATAGAAACGCTATAAAACTGGAGGGTTATGCAAGTGACAAACTTACAGCGAGAGTTTCGTCCTCCTTTACAGCAAGGCACCAGATACTTCCGCCCTGAAAAGGACATATATGCAAGAACAACCACTATGATTCATGTCATTTGTGGTATAGTAGTACAGTAAACTTGCATTAATTCAACCTCGACGTGACCTTGAAATTTGGTTGAATTATCCGAATGACTGAATTAAAAAAAAGGACAAAAAACGGTTAAAATTAAACTTTCTTTTATTGCCCAAAGTACTCACAAATGGTCTGCTGTCGTCTGCGCTTAAAATGCGTGTCCAAAAAAAACGCTCCGGAGAGCAGCGTAACTAAACGTCACGTCACCAAAAAATCAAGCACTACAATAAAAAAAAGTAACTTTTACGAGTTGATTTTGGCGCCAGGCAGCCAGACCGTCGGCGACAGAGAAAAAAAAAAGGAAACTAGAACCAACGCTTTCTGACGTGCAAGATGGACCGCACACGATGCTACAGAAAAGCGCTTCGAGAGCGCGCACTGTCTCTGCGTCCGACCACGCGCTATGTTCTCCGCGCTACTCCACACCAGATTGGTTGCGCTGGCTCGTGTCATTCGCTATGGTCCATCTCAACAGCGTAGAGGAGCAGGCGCATATTTGCGCATGTTCAGCTTTGCAGCAAGGGATCCGTGTTTCGCCGTACCTTGGTGATTTTTCTGCCGTGGTGCCGTGCAATGTGAGCCTGCGCGCATCTGCTCGGGACAAATTATCCGATGCAGAGCCTTCTTGAATTCGAACTATCAAACTTTTTCACCTATAGAAATGTATGAGTGCTCGCCGGGACTTTTGAACACGATCGAATTAAAAGAAAAGTCGAATTAACCGAGGTTGAACTAACGAGAGCTTACTGTATCAATATGTAAATGCACACAAGAGCACTGAAATCACAGACACTGGCATCATATACAGGTGCTCGCTGACTGCATCTCAAATATTGTGAGGAAAAAAATGAGGTCTTCAGAAACATGTTGCAAAATATGCTATGTTTTAGGCTTAACTAGAACAATGGAACAAATTGTATTTTGTTACTAATATTTGCTCCTCAAGACTTCAAGTACGGATGTGGCAACGGATTGGAAAGTTTTGCTTGTAAACATCTGCAAACAAAAGAACCTTATCCCCATTTAGGATCATTTTTAAATCAATTTTTTTATGTTAGATGATTTTTTTTTATATTGGGTGATTTCATCTCAACTCAGGCACGGATTTAGGGTCGAATTTTTAATTTTGACAAAAAAATATATGTTTTGGGGCAATTCCTATAATAAAAGAAGACGCAAACGGTTATTTTGTCGGATTTTTTGTTCTCAAGTTATGGACCGTTTAAGTGGTCAAGGTGGAAATTGATGTTTTTCCAGCCTATCGGAGGTGCCATATTTCACTCCATCCCTTTTCCCTACTTTTTACGCTACATCAATATAACTTTTTGGGAACACTTTATACGTAGGCTTTTTTATGTTAATTAAGCGTCTAGGTCATAACATTCTTAATGATTTTTTTTTTTATTTGTCAAACCGCCTCTCTGTGACGATATTTGACGAAGTTCAGCAAGCTGTGCTGTGTGACCTAATCAACATATTTTTATGATCTTTATATCACCGTAAAGCACCAATTATGCTCTTTCTTTTGAGTATAATTTCAATATTTTTCCCCAAGTATATAATGCGCTACATGTGCCTGAAAAACGAATATTTCGAAAAACTAGCAAGTTTGGAGTCGATTTTCTAAAAAACCCCACTTTTTATTTTTTTCATTTTTTATTCACAGTTAGTTAATATAGTAGTCTATCAGGAACTACCAACAGAAATTGTAATATATTGTTTGTATGGCCGCTATTAAGACTCGAATCTCGTGCTATGAGCGTTTTGAACGGGACTTCGCACAGGCGCTCTGCTCAGCAGAATTTTGGCCTATATAAGGTTTTCTATTTATCGTTAGCAGTTACCTAATATCCAACCATAAACATTTAAAAAAATTTTGAGTAGTGCTCTTAAAAAAAAGTTACTTAGATACCACAATATGGTATTCACAAGTGCGAGCGCATCTTTTTCTCCCAATATGGCGGAATGCAGATCGTTAGAGAAGTCCTCTGAGGCCTTTTGCTTTCGGCTCCAAAATTTTACAGATGCCACCACCCCAGTCAGGCGGCGTGTAAAGAAATACTTTATCTTGAACATCACGGGGCTACCGCCTTTTCTTCGTCGGGGTCCTGGAGCCTCTAAGGATTATGCCTTTGGATGCGACCGACACGGAAACCCTGATTGTCGGGAGAACAGGCGTTTCGAGGTTAGAGTTTACGTCGCAAGCCCCCCTCTGTCTCTCCAAGCTCCCCTCCTCGTCCTTCTAACACAACCGTGCCACTAATCCGCGGGCACTAAAAGAGACGCCGCTGCTGCGTGGCACTCAGATTACGCGCGAGGCGGAGGGCGAATGTTTAAGTATGGATCAACGGGGAGATTGGGGACCCAAAGGAAGCCGAATCTTCGCACGTCGTCTAACTGATAATAGCCTTCTCGGTCCCCTTCTGGCTCTTTACTTGAATTCCTAAGCCACGGCGGAAAGCTGGTACTCATTCTACCTCCGTGCTGTCTGAGCTGGATGAACTTAAAACTGCTCCTGCTTTCAGAAAGCCAGAAGTGTTCGTTACTGCTATGGCTAATACATTATTCAGTTCAGACCGGAAAGTGTGCGCCGACTATTCAAGGAGACACAAGAGAAGAGTGTTTTATGGACGCCATTTTCGTCAAGTCTCAGAGCTAAACCTAAGTTTTCTTAAGCAAGTTCTACCAGCTGAGGACGCCCAGCACGTAAGCCCTGGAGATGTTCTGTGCAATAACTGCTACACAATGTTCTTGGGTCAGATTGAAGAACATAAGCAAGGACAGGAAATGTTGTCATCAAGCTCATCGTCATCATCCCTGAAACCAGCGGACAGATCGTTCGTTGACGAGGAAGCCCTGGTCCAAGGAGTGTCTGAAGCAATTGATGCTGCCGAAGTAAGTGTGACACCACTTAAACTCCCTTCTAGCGTGACCCCACGAAGTCGTACCGACTATGTTAAGCGAAAAAAATCCGAGATAACCGCGAACTTCAAAAAGAAAATTGGTCGTAAACTAAGTGACGTGTACGGAGAACCTACGGGCACAGACAAAGAAGATCCATGCTCCTCGTGCTCCGACTGGGTCAGCAACTTACGAGCAGCCTACGTCAAGAGCGCGTCGCAGCTAGAACACTACCGCCTCTTAACTCTCTTCCCATCTAACCTCAAAAAGAAAGATATCCTGAAAGCAATTCCTGAAGTGACGAAGCATGCTTTGGACCAATCAAGAAAGCTGAAAAAAAAAAATGGGGTCTGGGCGTCACCTGACTTATACCAAGGACATGCTCTCAACGAAAACGATGTCGCTCTTGCGTTGACTTACTACACATCAGATGCGAAAGACTGCTCAAGACAAAGCCCGAACAAGAAGGATGTCGTAAGGCTTTTTATTGATGGTCAGGAAGTCTTCGTCACGAAGCGATTTATGACGAGATCTATTAGGGAAACCTGCAAAGAATTCAAGGCGGCCAATCCAGAGTCAAAAATGGGCCTAACAAAATTTTATTCTTTTCGGCCCAAGTGGGTTAAGCAACACCCTGTACATGAAGAGTGTGTGTGTGTATGCTGCGCCAACTTCATACTCTGTCTGACATCTCTGTCAAATGCGGCGGGGAAGACCATGACCTTTGAAGACGTCCAGAAAATTTTTCTTTGTGAAAATCCTTCCCAAAACTGCTTCTTGCTGAGGTGTGAAACCTGTTCGAACCGGAAGGACACATCCCTCGAGATGCTAGGGATGAGCGCTGAAGATGAACTGGAGTTGGCACTGTGGGAATCTGGTGGTGAGTTGGTGAAAAAACATTTGGAGGCCACTGCTTTTCTTAACGAACTCAACAAGTGGACGAAGAAATACATACCCCACTATTATATTCGGCGCGCACAACAGAGAGCAATATGGCTTGAAAAAGCAAATGTGAAGCCACGTGTCGTAGTGCTCCACTTTGATTTCGCCGAAAACTGGAGTATTGTGCTCCAACGTGCAGTGCAGGGATACCACTGGAAAACCAAGATGGTGACAATCTTCACCTGCGTTGCGACGACCACGAAGGGAACACTAAGTTTTGGCATCGTGAGTGACGATACCTGTCATGATTCTGCACACGCGCTCTTTGCGCTCACAATGATTGAAGACAGGCTCGAGGAACTCTTGCCCGTTTTTTTGGAGCTAATCTATGTTTCGGACGGCGCTCCAAGCCATCTCAAAAATCGGCACCAATTACACGAATTTCAGAAGTTTGTTGTCAGCAGGTGGATATACTCGGCATCAGGGCACGGCAAAAGCGCGTGCGATGGAGTGGGTGGTGTGCTGAAGCATCATGCGTCACTGCATAACTTGAAAACAACTGAGCTGAGCTCCATAACTAACGCGCATATGTTCGTTGAAGCTCTCGGCCAGAAAACCAAGGGGATAACGCTTCTCTTCATCGACCAAGAGGAGCTGTCCCATTATCGGGAGCTTAAAAGGAAGGGGTGGGAGAAGGTAACCCCATCGAAAGGCATCCAATCTTCTCATGTGTGGAGCGAAGCAATGGGGGAAGGGGGAGGTGATGTGGTCCTAGAAAGAGTTTACCAAACCCCAGAATAGACAGAGCTAAATAATGGGACCGTGAAAAGGCCGGACCGTTTCAACAGTGCGTTCATCCTTGTCCCCCTGTGAGTGCGCGGTGTGATCAGACGACGCGCCATAGACTTTGACACTGAACTGACTGCAATTTGGACAAAGCGAAAACTGGCTCAGGATCACATCAACCCATTGTCTCGAAATGTGCTACGTCGAAAGATGACTATCCCTATCCCAGGTGTTTATCACTTTTTGTGTGAGCAGCGCCGTGTAGTATTGAAAAGGTACTGCGTCGTCTATCCGTAAACCAGACGGAATTGGGCGGTGTTCAATTCGTTTTAAAGTTTATATTTGTATTAACTTTGAGTGTATTTTATGTTAATTAGGAGTATATAAGACATTTGGTCAACAAATTTTGATGTATTTTATGAAATGAACATGTTTAGGCTACAACATGAAATATTACCTCCCTTCTCCAGTTACGTGCCACATCTTGAGTTTAAAATTCCGAACTTTATATGTAATTGTCATATTTTCTTATGTCAAACAGATATGCAGTGGATATACATATGTGCGATTTAGTATCTGACGCTTAGGAAGTACGGTCTATTTTGTGCACATACGAGCTCTTTCGTAAAATAACGAGCATTTCGTGGCGTGTAAGGACGAGCATTTCGTGGCGTGTAAGGCTTCAAATGCGTTAGTCATGTGTTTAGGTTTCATTTCTATTTGCAGTGATTTATGCCAGGTTACTTAGACTTTTCCCTCGTGACTTAAGTTTGTCCGTGAGTTTAGATGTTACGTACTTCTCCGTCAATACATAAGGCGAAGCTCACACACCTTTCAAATCACCCCAGTGCCAAGTAAATAAATATTGTAAGGATAACTATTGTTACTTCACTTGCTTTTACGCTCAGATATTGTGGTAAGTACTAACACTAAATAGAAAACTTTACATTGGCCAAAATTCTGCTCAGCAAAGCGCCTGTGCGAAGTCCCATTCAAAACGCTCATAGCACGAGATTCGAGTCTTAATAGCGGCCATACAAACAATATATTACAATTTCTGTTGGTAGTTCCTGATAGACTACTATATTAACTAACTGTGAATAAAAAATGAAAAAAATAAAAAGTAGGGTTTTTTAGAAAATAGACTCCAAACTTGCTAGTTTTTCGAAATATTCGTTTTTCAGGCACATGTACCGCATTATATACTTGCGGAAAAATATTGAAATTATACTCAAAAGAAAGAGCATAATTGGTGCTTTACGGTGATATAAAGATCATAAAAATATGTTGATTACGTCAGACAGCACAGCTTGCTGAACTTCGTCAAATATCGTCACAGAGAGGCGGTTTGACAAATAAAAAAAAATCATTAAGAATGTTATGACCTAGACGCTTAATTAGCATAAAAAAGCCTATGTCTAGAGTGTTCCCAAAAAGTTATATTGATGTAGCGTAAAAAGTAGGGAAAAGGGATGGAGTGAAATATGGCACCTCCGATAGGCTGGAAAAACATCAATTTCCACCTTTGACCGCTTCAACGGTCCATAACTTGAGAACAAAAAATCCGATGAAATAACCGTTTGCGTCTTCTTTTATTATAGGAATTGCCCCAAAACATATATTTTTTTCGTCAAAATTAAAAATTCGACCCTAAATCCGTGCCTGAGTTGAGATGAAATCACCCATTACTAGCATATTCTCGAAGCAGCCATCAAAATGTTACACAAGGAATTTGAAAGTATTTTAACATCTTGTGCATACCCCAGGGGCAGTCATTTTGGTGATGAGATTTCCCGGTGTTCCCCAAAAACAAATGGATGAGTCCTGCAAAGAAACAAAGTTGAATCATTCATTGAGATTACTTACTGGACCATCGGACACCTCAGCAAGAAAGACATTTGGCAACTTCAAGATTTTCACTGAAGATGCTTGGCAAATCCACTGAACTCTCTGAGAAATAAGCTATAATATGAAAAGGCTTTTGGAGAAATTGGCAACTAAAACAGAGTTTAATTTAGTTCCAATTACCTTCTGGAATGATCAACACTCAGACTGAACACACTGCCCTAGCTTTGTGCAACCAACCTACTGCCTGCTACAATATGACTTATCACCCCTCCCAGATACTGTAAATGACATATATTGTGGTGATCTAATTTTTGTGAGTGCCACAAATAGAAAATGAAGGCATATTAATCGGAACATGTTGGCCATACATGAAGCCCACTGATCAGCTTACTGCCGATCACAAAATTTTGTTGCTGTGAAGTAACCAGTGATGAAAGCGGCACTTGACAGCTTGTAGCAGGTTTCGTAGAAGGCGGAATATTGTTTTGGAGCAGCCACTGACGCTTTTGGAGCAGATGCCAACATCTGTTGCCATATCACTTGAAATTGAAAATGTGATTGAATCGCTAAACGAGTTAATCTCAAATAACGACTCAAGGTTCCTCTTTGATACTGGAGCATATTACTACTTATTACCTTCTGTAATAAACATAGATAGGGGAAGAAAGGAACATACAGCCTTCATTTTAGAGATAAGGCTCTGGTCAAAGTAAGTTCCATTTACAATGGGCACTAAAAAATGTACGAAAAATTAATCATAGTGCAACACTTTAGTTTGGATAAAGTCTTTCATTCCTCCCACTTTTACATCTAATAGATTATTTAGCCTTGAAATATAATTTTTGTAAAACGCCAGCAAACACCACCATATTCGCGAACACGTCTTTCGATAAAAAGACTTTTAGCCTTTTCACTCTGGTGAGGAAGGAAGACCAGCGAAGCTGTACTATGGTGGGAATGAAGTAATGGCCGTCCACAAGTCAGCAAGTCAGAAAGGAAAGGCTGGAAAGGTTGCCACGATATATGAGTGACGGTGGCAAGCAGACAACCGGCCAACACAACACTTCGGACAGCTACCGCTATCTATGAGCGATGGCGGCAACCAGAGTGTTGTGTCGACATCTGTTTGGTACCGGACACAATCCTCAGGAACCTAGCCCTTCACAGCTCCGCTGTAAAAAATGCGTTCCCCATGTTTTATCAACCTATCAAACTCGAGGCTCTGAAATTATAAACTGAAAAAACGACAACCTACAAATATTAAAAAAGCCTGCAAATTTGCAGTTCAAAAGAGACACTGCTCTTTAGCGGCACTGGAACCAGAGTGCAAACAAAGTTTGCTGCTCTTTCGACCAATGGCTGCACAAGAACTACCTTGACTAATGTATTTATTCAAATATAGGCCTGAGGTTTTTTGGTTTTTTCTTTCTCGGTTTAAAATTAGGGATAAACCTACAATCAAAACAAAAGAAGGTAGACCTGTCACTTGGAATAGTACTGAGTATAATTTCCAAGCCTATCGCGCAAACCCTGGTGCTCACTCACATCAGCCGCTGCTCCTAGCACTCTGATGCAAAGCGGTGAAGCTTGACGCACGTGCGCTGGTGAGAGGCGGCACAAAGGCATGCGGCAGACATGATGATCAAATGATCTTATCAGGAGTACAAGACCCATCTCAATACTTTGCAATGCATTCTCACAACTTTTAGCTCCTGACATTGCCGGGAAATTAGGCGATGTCGGCGATCAACTCGGAAACGCAACAATCGGTAAGCGTGGTTGATGAGCAATCTCTGTAGGGCTGTAGCTCTCAAGTTTGGGAAGCTCCTCCGACGAAAAAGAATCAAACATTTCTCAAGCACGTTTAGGATTCGCGTCATTGCGCTTTTTCACATTGCTCACAGAAGCTAAGCTAACAGAATTTCATTTATGGATAAATGTTTTTGGCGAAAAAGAAAACAAGAAAAAAGTATGTTAAAGAAAACCACTCCCATCATCTTGATAGGACAGTGCGAGCTGCATTGGTCTTTTATTTATTTAAACCTTTTTTAGTTCTTTCAGACGCTTTCCTACTGCACGCAAACAGATGCTGACATAGACTTGCAAATGGTTGTGGCTCTTACATGATTGAACGCTGCAGTGGCACTTTATGCTTGATGTAAGCATGACATGGGTGCGTCTAACAGACATCCTCGCACCCCCTAGCCAAGAGAAACGGGCTTATAATTCGTTTCACCTCAATTCGAAGTGCAGCCGACGCTACGAGCCAATGGAACCAACCAAACAGCGTCAAAGCGCAACATCACAACATTCGTCCATCCTCCCATATGTTTTCTTTCGTCGGCTAAACCAATAGTTCTCATACGGGGGTCTGCAGACACTTTGGGGTACATGAAGACCTCCTTAGGGTCCCCAAAGTCATCAACCGTCAATCAAGCCGAGTAATAAAATTTTATAATTTTTTTTAATTGACATTGACTGTTTCACAAAGCTATATACCAGACCAAACAATGTGTGCCGAGTAAATAGGGTTAATTATCCTCCGTTTAAGAGCTTCAAAGTCCCTTCAAAGTTGACTTTAGTCATTGTAATCATCCAGTAACCCCACCCCCCCCAGTGGACAAGGTTCCACTTCAGCTCTGCTGATCCAAAAGGCAGGTATCCCAAAACCTCAGTAGTTGAGAACCACTGGGCTAAGCCAACCAAGTGCAGCAAATGTCCCATGACTTACGCTTTGAGTATGTGTGTTTGTGGTTGTATGTGTTGGAGCCTTCGACTGTGCTCTGACCCCAAGATGAAACAGACTACACAATAAGTAGAGATGCTCTGAAATACATATTCATACCATTTCCCTTTCCTCATACTCCTCTGAATATTAGAGTCAACCAACAATAAAATAGTTTAATTTCTAGCCAATCTGCACAGGTGTGGTGCAATTCTTAGCAAAAACTTTCAGCTTTTCCATTCTGGTGAAGAACGAAGACCAGCGAAGCTGTACTATGGTGGGACGACCTCAAAGACGACTTCTGGGACGACCTCGAGGACGACGCCTAGGACGAGCTGAGGGATGATGTCTAGGACCTGAAGGACAACGCCTAGGACGACCTCAAGGACGACGTCCAGGACCTCAAGGACTTCAGGACGACATCGAGGATGACGTCTAGGACAACCTCAAGGATGACTTCTAGGATGACCTCGAGAACAACCTCTCGGACGACCTCAAGGACGACCTCAAGGGCGACATCTAGGACGACCTCAAGGACGACTTCTAGGACGACCTCGAGGACGACGCCTAGAGTAGGTCATCCTCTACGCGTTGTCCTCGAGGAGAACTTCTAGGACGACGCCTAGAGAAATTCAGCTTTTCCACTTTGGTAAAAACCAGAGTGGAAAGACTGGAAAGGTTGCCGCCATCTATGAGCAACAACTAAAACCAGACAACCGGCAAGCCGGTTGTCTGGTTGTTGCCGTCGCTCCTAGATGGCGGTAGCTGTCCAGAGTTTTGTGTCAACATTTATTTGGTGACGGACACAAAACTAGGGAAACTAGCCCTTAACAGCTCCGGTGTAAAATGGGCCTTTGGCGCATGATGTAGCAGACTTTCGTTCATGGAGGCAATTTCACACAAATGGCACAGCACTTCCATCACTGCATGGAGGCACCCTGGTTCTGTATTATCGCAGTAGCCTCGTAACTGTAACTTCCTGACATCGCCGACATCGTCTGTAAATTCAGACAACGACGGGGTCAGCACGGTTGAAGACCAATCTCTGTACTTTGTCTCATTTACCAGTAAAGTGCGATTGACGACACGAGCCATGGGACCAATCAAAAAGCACCAAAAGCGCAACATCATGGCATTTGTCGTCCTTCTGTACGTGTTCTGTCATCAACTAAATCGAATAAGTGCAGCAAAAGTCCCGTCACTTGCGCTTTTAGTATGTTTAGTGGTTGTATGAAAATGAACCTTCGACTGTAATCTAATTTAAGATGAAAGTAAGTGAGTAGACACACTGTGAAATACATATTTATACTATTTTTTTCCTCCTATTTGCGTGAATATCAAGATCAACCAATATTGAAATATTTTTATTTTTCACATTGTTTAAAGGGACAATGAAGGCGATTTCGGACATTTTTTTGGCGATTGAACTGGGTTCCAGGCACGTCTCGGGCCACGTTGCCCAAATTTCAGCCGAAACCGGCGCTTGTGTGCCGCGCAAATCAATTAAACAGTCACAGTAATAATCGTACTGGGATCGACTGGGGCGACGCTCTGAGAGTTGCGGGAGAAGCCAGGAGAAGCGGAGCTCACGTAACCGATGCGGGGCCAAGAAGCGCGACGTCACAAGAGACGCGTCAGCGATTGGTCGAAACAAGAGACGTGCCCTCAGTCACGTTTTGGTTCGCGATTTTTAGAAATACTGTTCTAATTTCCGCTTGAATAACCATGAAAAGTATAAATCGGACTGAAAATGATTACTAAACCGTAAATAAAGCAGCATAATTGTTCTTTTTTTCTTTGCTACGCCGGACGCGAGACGGTCAACGAGCAACTATGGGCACTTTGGCATGCGGGCCGCTCGTTACCGGCTGGGCGCTCTCCCTCGGGTGATGACGGAGAGTGCCGCACACATACTCTTGTTCCGTTTGTGTTGGGTCACTGAACGGAAGCTCGAACTCGCTCGCGAGAGCGGCATTGCCGTCCATGTTGACAGATTCGACGAAACGACCGCGCCACCGCGCTGCTATAACCCACCGCAGTAAGCAGAGTCTCGATCTCCTAAATACTACTGATACCGGCTATTCACACTTGATGTCACTCCCTACGTCACCTCCCTTTTCGGAGGCCCAAAAACGAGAATGGAGATTGTTCAGTTTCGGTTTTTTTACTTCTTTCGTAGGCACAGAAATACGCGTCACAAATGTCCACAAAAAATTGGGCAGCATGCTATGTTCCCAAGAAGCATAAAAAC